ATGAAGAATGAAAATGACGATGTGCTTTCAAGATGTAAACCTAATATAAATTTGGTATTAAAAAATAATAATTATTTTTTTACTTGAAAAATACCGGGTACCCGGCGGGTAACGGTTCCGAAAAATTGAGAACCGGAACCGGAACCATTCTCAATCAGTTCCGTATTTTAGGAACCGGAACCGGAACCACTCATATCGGTTCCGGTTCCGGAACTGGCAGTTCCAAGGCGGTTCCGGTTCCATAGTCGGGTACCCTGTTCCGCTGCTCACCCCTAGTATTTACTCATAATTTACTTATAATCTTGAATTTTAAGTAATATGCATCAATAAACACTACTTTATGCATAAAAATTATTTTTAACAGTTTCTACCAAATGTTTTATAATATAGTATAGATATAGATATATACATATATATTACATTTTCAATCTCAATTAGTATTTGTTTCTAAAAACCAATATTTATGTTAGTTTTAGGCCTCATATATATTTTTACATGATGGTTCAAATAACATCTAGTATCATTCTGAGTGCTCTAAACCGCTCATCGTGACAGTTGCATAGGTACATTAAACATGTGGCACCCCATGGTCCGATACATGTTTTTTATAAGTTGTTACTCGATCTCTTTTACTTTCTTAACCTTGATGTATATTTTTATGTTTTAGCCTATATCCTATTTATATGTGTTCTTATATTACAGACTTCTTGTCTTAAGTCACTCTTTGAAATCACCGAATGCCACGCCACACCATTGAGGACTATGATCATTCTCAATCATTAGCATCCTTCGTTCCGTGTTTGGTCACAGATTTAGTCTCATAATCGCTAGAAACAAAAGACCACCAAAACTGTATGTTACTTCTTCCAGCAAACCCAGATCAAAATTGTCTGAAAGTAAGGTTAAGACGGCCCGGCCGGAGCATGGTTTGTTTTAACAATGGCAAAGGGGCTGAGTCCTGGTTGATGGTAGTTACCCCATGAAAAATATGCCTAGACTTGCCACCAAATATCAATACGTCTCCTGATTCTAGCAAAATCTTGGCAGCGTTTTTGACGTCTCTCGTATCGTCATACAAGAAATCTGCAGAGTCGCCAATGGAGATGGAAACCACAGGCAATCTTCTACTGAGACTATTGCTACTCTCATCACGATCCTATGTTCAAAAAAAGATATACAGTTAATTCTTAATTTTTTTTTTATAGTTCTAATACCATGTTTATTGACTTTAAGAAGACTTGTCTTTTATTTATAATTTTGGCCCAATGCCATTGACACATCTTTAAACCACAGTATCTTGAGGTGATAGAAAATTCTGTGTACATTTTACACTTCAGAGACTCTAATCATAACCTTGAAAGATATATTAGGATTGCTAAGATATAAGGAGGCCACGGGTCCACATCTGAAAACCTCCACTTGCTGTGGACTCATAGTGATTTACCTCTTTTATGATGGTCGTGAGACCGGTATGATGGTCGTGAGACCGGTATGGTACAACACTCAGAAAAGGTTATGTCTACTAGTTTAAATATAATATGTATTGTAAAAGAGATACACTTTGACTTTTGATACTTCAATGTTCAATCCCATCCACTAATACTGTAACAAGAAGATTGACCTTTTGACTTTTGATGTCAATGATCTACCTTCCACTTTCAAAAACAAATTAGCCACCAAAAATGCCAAAAGGAACACTAAAATTGTCAAAATACCATTAAGGATGCATATATAGACTTCTAATTGATCTTCTTTAAGGATGCATATATAGACTTCTGGATGATCTTCTTTTTCTAAAATCAAGCAAGTATTTAACCAAATATCCATCCAGAGATGGAGTGGGGGTGGAATGTATGCAAAACTGACCGCTACCCCAAAAAGTATATCGATTTTTCCATGAAGACCAACCCCGAAGAGCAAGAGTATAGGATATAGTGATTAAAATGAAGAATATATACACACAAATAAATATACGTAGATAACTGCACGTAAAAACTAACCTGATGGAGACCAAGTCGGCCAGAGGTTGCATAAAAGTTGACTATACATACATCTGGGGACATCATAGGAAGTTCATCCTCTGAGTTTATAAGATATTGAGAATATTGAAGTGCATTTGTGACCAACCGAATAAGTTCATCAGGAATTGGTGGTGCTTCAGAACCATCACTTCTATAATGGTCGCTATATTTCGTTTGCGGGTCCCAATTTCGACCAAGACACATCATATGTAATTGAAGTTTCGGTCCGTGTTGGTAACCAGGCTGGTAAAATCCCCCTGGACCCACACCTAGCTCTTCACATCTATTTACTATTTCAACCTAAATGTTAAAGTCCAGCCATTTAGATCTTGAACTACCATACTGATACATTATTTGCAGAATAAGCATTGGATTTGAAAAAATACCAAGGTTTAATATGTAATTCGAAGCATTTTTAACCATTACACTTTAACTTCATTTGTACAATTATACTTCACAAAAAACGCAAAACGAAAAAAGAACATATTGTAGTTGATTAGAATGGAAGAAAATCAGACAAAATACATATTAGTAACCAATCATTGATATGTATTCTTCTCTTCATCCCAAAAATATGTAATGTAAAGCTTGACACACAGTTCAATAAAAAAAAGTTTGACTAATAATCAAATACCTAGATTTCCCTTCAATTAAAAATATAGAAAATAAGAGAACTTGCATAACACAATCAATTTCACCAATATCTCGCAAAAATAGATGAAGTGTGAAAGAATGGAAAAAGATACTTCCCAATTTTTTGGGACTAACACTAGATAAAAATGTTTTTATAATTTTTTTAGACGAGGAGATATAAGTTTGTTGCAATTTCTTTGTACTACATTGTTGTTTTAACAATGAAAACAAAGTATAATGGTTAAAAAATGCTCGAGTCGAAATACAAAACCTCATGGCAGAATTGCAAGAAGAAACAAACTTCAAATGTTGTTTATTTTGCATACAATGGTTGTTTTATAGTGCAAAAGATTCAAAATCTAATTAGGTTGATTTAAAACCCAAGTTCACATGGTTTTGGACACTTGAAGATAAAGGTAAAAACAGAGTGTAAAGCAAATACCTGCTTACTTAGGCTGAGGTACTTCTTCAACAGAACCATTCCAGATCTGAGTACTAATTCAGAAGAGCTTTCAAGACTGTCAACCTGTTTTTTGCCACTTCTTTTACACATTGACTCTATGCTTCTGGGAAGAATTAGACTAAATGGTTCTGTTTGAAACAAATGATCAGCAGGAGGCTTGTGATTTTTCTTAACTTTGCTTCTACAATATGTCAACTTTTGCTTGCCAAAACTAGTTGGCAGCAAATAGTCCTCGTGATGATTGATAAAATCTTCAAATAATGGGTCTGAATCTAAATCCTTTTTCCATTCATTTGAAGTTTGATTAGGATGATGTCTCAAGTCAAAATTAGTTTTTCTTTCATCATACGATCCCAGAGATTCCACTAAGGAAAGAGAAGCACACTCGTACATATCAGTTTTAGAATGGGAAAGTGAAGGATGATGAGACAAATCCTGTATAGATAGTTGGAAGAAAGAATTTGTAAATAAATATGCAACATATACTCAAATGAATATTAAGCTAACAAAGTCACAATATAATGAAAAGTTAATGTTGGAAACAGCAAGTTTGTTTCTTGGTACTAACATGGTCCCATGACCGTTCTTGCTATTAAAGCCTTCCGAAAAAATAACAGTTCATGATCAAAATGACACCTCTAAACGACAGAAATGTGGTGAGCAGGTCTACTCACAAGTGCAGGCCGAATGATGCACTTTAGGAATGTGAAAACCAGACATGGTGTTATATGAAAAAAACTTAATCCCATACCACAACACCGAAAAAGAAGAACCTCATTTCCAATCAATTCTGGGTTACCTTTAATATAGACAAAAGAATTATCCGTCCATCACAGAAAGAATACAGTTCGATCTTTACAATCAAATGAAACGATTTTCAGCTTAGACACTCCACCCATTTGTAAATTTGAATTCATGTTTTTATGTTGAACACTCAAATCTGATATCTTTTTGTCCCATACATAGATGTTTCTTGCTCTTGGTTCAATTATGTTTTTATGTAACACCACCTCTAAAAGTTCCACATTTGACTTTTTAGAATCAAAGTAGTTACCCTGCTTACCCATGAAAGTTGCAACGATGAGGGACTGTTTACCAAACATTTACCCGGGTAAGTTCTTACCAACTCACATTACCTTACCGGATGAATATGACAAGGACCAAGAACTTTACTCGGTAAGAGCAAACGCAAGGACCAAGAGTCTTACTTGGTAAGTGAGGGTGATCACTCTTACCACGGTTAGCGCTCACCGAGTAAATTGTTGCATACAATGTCGTTTTGATGAACTAAAATCTTACCCGGTAAGTAAGTGATAGCGTTGCATTTTACCCGTAAGTGCTTACCGGGTAAGTGTTTGGGTAACGGCTCCCGAGACATTTAAATAAACTAACTTAAACGTCTTGAAAGATTTAATACTGAAAAAATAAATATATCTGATTGTCTGTAATGATATGGACATGTAACTGATTGTGAATTAAAGAGTTGTAAAAAGCATGGCAATTTTATGTCCTAACTGCATGGGAAGGAGGCCTCATAGTTTATCATCAAAATGGATAAAAAATTAGCTTATTTTTTGGATAAAAAACTGAAAACAACATTCATCATGTAAAGTATTAGAAAAAGAAGTATTTTGAAACTAAAACACTAAAAAAGTTGTATGTCAAAATCGAAAAAATGGAACTTTTCTAACCATCGTCCTCTGTAATTTAGTTGCAAAAAGAAGAACGATGGAATCGCAAACTTTGGTACAGATTGCAGTAAAACTGAAAAACACATTCACTCGATTGAAATTGGGAACTACTGATCAGGGTATAAAAAGTCAAGTAGATGCTGATAAGAAGGGGATGGTCTTCCTATAATTACCTATTTGTTCTTAATAACAAGAACAATTACCACAGATTCTGAATTTAAGATCAAACAGATCAGAAGGAACCCTAATTTCGGGACTAACAGAGTATGAATGTTAGATATTTCAACAAAAATCAATGATCATGCTCAATTAGTTACGAACTCCACACAAAGCAACATGAATCTGAACTAACAATGACAGTATAAAGTTCAAAATCAAAGAAAATTATCACTAAACAACAATGTAATTAATCAAACCGAAGACGATCAAAAGAAAAAGGAGAATCATAATCTAGAGAATTACTCACCCTTTCATCGCCCATATCATCACAGAATCCTAGCGATGCTTCATGATCCATCAGTGAGAAGAAAATAAAGGAGCAGAGCCTAAAAGAGGTGGAGTAAGGGTTTATGGAGCAAAACGAAGAGGAAACGTGGTGGTCCCCTCTGCAAATTGTAGGATCTTTTCACTTCCGATATAAACATAATATCCATGTTATTAAGTAAACCTTATTTATAAAAAGTCTTAAAAACAATTTTTAGTATAAGTATTATATAGTTATGTACAAAAGTCTTAAAAACAACGCATAATGTATTAAGTATTACTACTTCATGTATTTAATCTTAAAATCTTTTAATCTACAATTAAAATAACATATAGTATAAGTTACCAATGCACATTATTATCTTTTCTTTTCATGTTCCCAAGATACATTTGACATATTTCACTCATGTCTTACCCTCTCATACCTCTATGTTTTCTCCTCATCCCCCCAAGGTGAGATTCAAACTGATATTCACCATTAGTTATTAAAAGTTCTCTCATTCATCTCTCATTCAATTTTTCTAAAATTCTCTCTCTCGTTCTCGATCTCTTGATTATTTGCTCTTGGTGTAAATCGAACACATTTGCGAAATCGTTTAAATATGTTGGATTTTAAATATATTGGATTTTAAACTGTCATACAATTTTTTTCATCGATAGACGGTAATTGGAAGCATAACTCTTATTTATTCAAATTGTATTAATATGTAAAGATCAAGTGTAACTTATATCATCGTTAAATCTTCTCTAATAAAATAAGTGAAACTTCAAAATCGTTAAAATTCACGGCTCGCGCCGTATTGCTCGGATACACAACTAGTATTATTTAAATTTCTTTTAATATCTTGTTTATATTAATTATTGTACTCGCGCATTGTAACGAGATAAATCTCGATTATAATGTTTGGTTTTAGTTTTTGTCTCTATCAATATAATACGATTTTATGTGGTTTTGAGAAAGCGGTAGTGTTTTTATTTTTGAAAGAAATATAAATTTGAAGATAACATAAAAATTTGAAAAAGAAAATCGATATCAGTATCAAATTAATTATTTTATAGTTCTCATTTTTTTGTATAACTTCTTTAATTTCAATTTTTTATTATAATTTAATTTAGATTTAATAACAAAGTAATTTATTTTTGGTTTAATGATTTAATTTTTTTTATAAAGATAATAATTAAACATTCTGTTAGAACTCAATGATTATCTTAATTATATTTTTGATTTTCTATCTATATCTATACTATATTATAAAGCATTTGGCTAAAACTCTTAAAAACTCTTAAACTCGTTCATCCCTGAACGATTTCATCCCTATCCGATTTCATCTCATATCTGAATCCGTATAAGTAACTGTAGATAAACACAATCAAATACACGATAAACATCTCATTTTAAATATAAAAAATCTAAAATATAATTAATATAATAATTAAATTCTAACAGAATACTTAATTATTATCTTTATAAAATTTATAGTATAGATATGTCATGTATAACAAATGATATTTTTTACTATTTTATAAAGCATTTGGGTAAAACTCTTAAATACAACCATTTATGCATATGGTACTATCAATTAATGCCAAATTACTTAAATTCTAAATTTACAATTTATACTGCCCATGGTACAACTTGTTAAAGCAAGCTGCTCCCTACACCGTTCAAACTAAAACTCGCTCTTATCCATCCATATCCCAAACCCTTAAATCTCTGTCCAATGTAGAAGATGAGGATCGATGCAACAGAATTTGAGATGAAATCGAATGGAGATGATATCCATTCCAACAGATTTTGAGATCTATATCCCTAAACCCTAATTAAAACTCTTTCCAATGTAGAAGATGAGGATGGATTCCAACAGAATTTGAGATGAAATCGATTCCAACAGATTTTGAGATGATATCGATTCCAACCGAATTTAGAGATGCATATATATTTGATCCATACCCTTCAATCGAGTTCAGTTTGTTTCAATTTCAAGGTTCGTCTTTTGTTTCAAGGTTATATATATATGTATTTGTGTGTGTATAATCCATGGTAGTTATAATTTATGTGCATGTAATATAGTTCTCTCATTTATGGCTTAAAAATAGTTCAATTTCGTATTACATTGAAACATATTCTAAATGTTCATTGTATACTTTCAGGGGAGAACCCAAATGTTGGTACAACGTCCCTGGTAGTGAAGCCAGTGCTTTTGAGAAGGTAGGCCATTAATGTATATCGTGGCATTTTCTGTAAAATAACTGTAAACCATTGTAAGAACTTAGAAAGTGCTCTATGATTTTACCACTTCCTTGTGTTCACTCCTTGAAAACTCACAAAGAAGCTCCTTTTGAGCCACCAATCTGACTAGGATGTGCTGTGAGGTATATTCCTCCCCACTTAGGGCTAAACAGGTAGAAAAGAAATCAATTGCATGTTGGAGGTTAGATGGAGTTGAAAACCACTACCAGGAAACAGTTTTTTGTAATCAAAGTTCAAAGATTGTTGTCATTTTTGCATTTTAAGATACTTTATCATCATGCCCTTGAATCTTCATGTGAATTGTTTGGCTACACTTGAGTGCTTCATCTAACTATGCAAGTCCTAAAAGCACCTTATTTTCAAACACCAAAACTCACAGTTTCTACGCTGGAATTTTTTTTGTCTTGGAGTGACTTTTTTGCTCTGTCATCTAATAAGTTGTATACTTTGATTCCCTTTATTTAATGTCGATCCTTTTCATCTCAAAAGTTTAAGGTGCGCTTTAACTTTCTATGGCTTTACTACTCTTTAAGGAAGCTCCTGGGTTTCAAATTTTCATGGTTTTCTTGCTTCAACATGATATGGTAATGTTGGAAGAGTGGTACGATCGAGATTAAAGTCTAGGATATTTCTTTATAAGTGGGTTTTATATAAGTTCTTTATTACACTACCACAACTTATCTTGAGGAATAGAAGCTTGTTGATGAAGATGGATTTTCTCCAGGATCTGTGGCCTTTGAATATGTTGGGAATTAGAGGGAGTGAAAACCACCACCACCAAACTGTTTTTTTGTAATCAAATATTGTCGGTCTTTCTGTATTTTAGGAGTATTATCTGAGTTTATCATGATGTTGCCCTTGAATTTTTATGTGAATTGTTTGGCTACACTTAGGGGCTGTTTGGTTTGTTTTCCATTAAGTCCTGAAATTGACGAGGTAATAATAATGACTGTTTCAAGTTCTGTCTCTCTTCTCCTATCTGTTTTTTATTTATGTATAATGTATTTGCTCCTACACTTAGGGCCTACTGTTGTCAGCAGTTTGGGTTTTTCAATTACACGTTTGCTCCCCATTAGAAGCATTTGGGATAAAGAAAACATATGTTCACAACGTTACAAACTTCAGTTCTCCTGCCACTT